AGCTTATTAGTGAATTTCTCCACTGTGAGATCAATAAAGCTCATCTAATCTATTCTAATTTTCTTATTCTGAGACCTACTGAGAGGTTTTTTTAGTTGCGTGTTCAGGATCTTTGTGTTGCTCCTTTCATTTTGAGATTCCTATGAATAATGTTTCCACTTATCCTCAACCTCTCCACTTATCTAGAGGAAAGGTTGTGTTATTGTGGTTTACAAAAGAGAGTAAAAATATTATTGGTTAATATAGTTTATCAGTATACTATAATTCTTTTCTTGTTATGATGTTTTTGTGAAGATTTTTTTTTTTCTAAATTACAGTGAATGGTAAATGTAAGTTGTGTCTGACTAAAGGGTTTTGGACCTGATAAGTTTGACTAAACTTCTTCCAAAAACCTTTTTCGAACTATAAGTTATACGGGTTTCCAGAACCACATGCTAACAAACAGCCTATATCCCACCTTAAAGGTATACTATGCAACCCGGTTGATTTTCCAGCAAGGCTCCCCCCAGAGGGCGAAAGTAAAAGTGCACTGTTGTAAATATGCTCAGCTGTTCTCCTGGTTTCTCTGTCAAGCCAGGCGCTGTTGTTTTGAGCTTAGCAGACAGGCGAATGCAACGAATCACCATGTCTACTGCGGTAAGTGACTATTTTGTTCCAATTTTCGAGTTTGAAAATTTAGCATGTTTTCATACATTATTTGTTATGCATGTGTCGTAGCAGTTCTCGCTGTAAAGCAAGACCGACTCTCGCGATGCACGAGACCTCTGAGCCTGTGGGTGCGGGCCGAGGGCTCCTGCAATTGCAATTATGGTATTTCCCCTACAGACCACCAGGGCGGCCAAGAAAACCTTTGTTCGACCTGAAATGAGTCATTTAATCATCCAAAACGAAATGGAACACATGAATTAAATGAAAAATGTTGCATATTATGCCTTTAAAGGAATAGTACACCCAAAACATGATTAGCCTTCATTTTCTACTCACCCCCATGCTGAACAACACTCTGGAGTACTTTTTTGATATCTCAAATGCATCTGGAGATCTGGGAGGCTTCTTGCTGTCTGCTGACATCAAATAATGGAGGTCCATAGCGCTCGAGGCAGAAAGGTCCATAAAAGTCCACAAAAAACGTGTCAATATTCCTCCATACTGCTCGTCCAATGAATTCCAAGTGTCCTGAGTGGGTAGCGTCCAGAATTTACTCGAAACGAAGTCATTTAGAATGTTTTTAGAGCATAAACAGTAGTGTATAGGATTTCCTGAAAGCGTTGCCTGCGCGTTCACGACGCTACGGAAGCCGGCAGACCAAACCAGATGAAAGTGCGCATTCAGCGTCTGCTCTGCCGATAATGCAAGCGTAGAAGAAGAAATGTGCTGTTTACCTGTGCAAAGAAAGAAACAACGAAAGAAAAATGTCTGAGGACTTCAGTCTTGAGGAAGAGCATGAGTTCTTTGCCGAGCTGAATGCGCACTTTCATCTGGTTTGGTCTGCCGCGGTTTCCGTAGGCTAGTGAACGCGCTTTTAGGAAATCCTATACACTACTGTTTATGCTCTAAAAACATTCTAAATGACTTCGTTTCGAGTAAATTCTGGATGCTACCCACTCAGGACACTTGGAATACATTGGACGAGCAGTACGGAGGAATATTGACACGTTTTTTGTGCTTTTATGGACCTTTCTGTCTCGGGCACCATAGACCTCCATTATTTGAATGTCAGCAGACAGCAAGAAGCCTCCCAGATCTCCAGATGCATTTGAGATATCAAAAAAGTACTCCAGAGTGTTGTTCAGCATGGGGGTAAGTAGAAAATGAAGGCTAATCATGTTTTGGGTGTACTATTCCTTTAAAGCAATCCTGTTTGTATGCTAGGTTTGGATGGTGTGCACTGCCATCCCTTCTTTTAATCAAGTTTTCAATGAAGTCCAAAGTTTTTTCATTTTTGTCTCATTATTCCAGACTATATTATACCAGGATAACACTGGTTGCAGTACACCTTAAATTTGTTTTAAGATACTTTTCTTCAACATTAGCATCTTGCATGCTAAGTGTGCAGAGACCAGTTCATAGGTGCATTATTACTTTAGTGAAAAAATACAGGTATTTCTGTATGAAGCCCCATTCACTCCTTGATAACTTTTCTGAAAGTCATACCCTCATATAAATTCAATATATATTCACATGTATTGTAAAATATTTCATTTATTTCTTGCAATATTGATGGTTATACTTTACAGATGATGAAAACCACAAAAATTATTTTGTGTTTAACGAAATGTGAATATTTAATAAGATCAGTCATACAAATATTTTAAACAGAACTGTCAGGCTTCTAAAAATCATATTCATTTCTATGCATTCCATAATTGGTTGGGCCTCCTTTTGCATTAATGATTACATCAATATGGGGCTGCATGGAGGCAATAAGCCTGTGAAGCTGTCTGGTTGTAATGGAAGCCCAGGTTGGTTTGATAGCGGCTCTAAGGTCATCTGCATCGTTGAGTCTGGTGTCTCTCATCCTTCTTTTGATGATACTTCATAGACTCTCTAGCTCAGGTCAGGCCAGTTTGCCACTCAAGCACAGCAGCATCATAGTCATTAAACCAGTTTTTTGCACCTCTGGCTTGGTAGGCAGATACTTAGCCTGCTGGAGAATGAAATCGGTATCTCTATAATGTTTTCTTTCTATGCGAAGCCCAGTGCCAGTCCTCTCCTTTCAAAGCTTCCCCAAATTATTGGGTGGAATTTCCTAGACAATGCTCACAAGGCTGTAATTATACCTGCTGCTGAAGTACCCTCTTCCTCTGCACTTTTTCCATCCACGCAACGCAAGTTTTGATCCATTTTATTTTTAGAAATAATTGAGAATTAAAGACATTTATTAACTGCAAGCAGAAAGTTTTAAATTCGTTATAAACTGCTTGAAATATTAGACTCTATTTTAGTTTCACCATTTGAAATAACTGACAGAAATCCCTAAATATATTTATTCACATATTCTGAGCTGTACCTGTAACCTCAAGGCAATATTTCCTGTAAGAGTATACTAATTGGATTGTTCTTGACATCTTATGTGAATTGAATCTCAATGGCCTCATTATAAATATTTAGACCGGAAAACTACTATTTCAACATAAATTTTTTCCACTTTTCAAGGACCGTGATGTTTGTGCACTGTGCCTAATTTCCACTTTAATTACCACAATACTAGTAAAACACAATGACCAGAACAATAAAGACAAACTACCAGACACATCTTTTTAGGAAGCCATGGCCAACTCTGTCATGCATGCATAAGTTACAGTTATGCAGCAAAGATGCTTTTGGGACTACATTGTGAGTCTTTGGTGATGCTCTGCAAACAGCATTAGTTGCGCTCGGTAAAGAATAGACTTGTCACATATTCAGTGAGGCTAGTGTAGCACAACAGCTTGGAGACCAAGCCGCTGTGTATGCATGCAAAGACTTGCCAGACAAAGGGATTGGCACTTGTCAGCGATTTTAAACAAAGTGGGCTAGATACAGACACACGTTAGCCCACTTGAAGAACAGAGCTTCACATGCATGAGCTGTGTATATGTAAAGACGCAGGTTGAAATGAAGACAGTTTGGCTGCAGTTGTAACAGCTTGCCCTGGGCATGAATAAAGAAACACCTGTGTGTCAAAGTGGTGCCATGGAAACACCTCCTGATAGATGATCCGGGCCCTTTTGACAAGAAGGAGGGAGATTTCCAATGAACTCTGGAACATCCGGAGATGCAAAATGCAGCATCAGGACTCTAAACCCCCTAATTCAAATTTCCAGACAATTTTAAGAGTTCCCAAAACAATAATAAACATTTTTCTAAATTTTTTGAACAGCCTTTGCTTCATAATCGTCTCAATCTAAGGGTTGTCTCTTTGTTGGACATTTTTACATTCGACTTTCTACTATTATATTGGATGCCTTACTTTAAAAGACAACTTTACTGCTACTTTTAATGCTACTTTAGCCTTCTTGTGCATCATCCTTTGAGAATGTTAATGATTAACTGCTCAAAAAACTGCTTTTGAGAAATTTCTAAAACAAAAATTAAGAGATAAATGTTGAAATATATTCCTCTGTGCAATTTATCTAGATGAATGTTTAATATTCTAAAATAAATGTCATATTAGATATTTAAATTCACTGAGATGCAGTCGTACAAGTGAGGTGAAAATCAATGGTGTAATTTTTATTGAATCCGATTGCAAATCAAAGGCTTTGGATGATAAAAAACATCAGGCTTTCATCACCTGCACTACAGTGGCAACATAAGAGGTGGGCTGGGCTATATCAAGGCTTTTGATTTAGATTCAGAGACTTAAGCTGTTTCTGTTGCAGCACAAGAGCTGTCTCTCACTCTAATCTCGGCAGCGATCCACCCTGAGCCAGGAATATCCCAAGATAAATATGGAAAGAGAACAATGCGAGTGCTGAGCAGCAACTTCCCATTTTCTACACCTCTCATCTCTAATCCTCTTCAGCATCAGTCCTGAACTGCCGCTCCTCATCTGAATGAGGAAGCAGAGCGTTCTGATATTACACTACTGTGTCTTTTTCCTCTTTTTTCACCATAAACATTCTGGCCATACCTTAACGAAGGACTTTAACTCTAAACCTACACCTTCGAAATCAGCTGCAACATTTATTGCATGAAAAATTAAGATAGATTACGTCTTGGGTTTAGATATCTTAACAGATACTGGATGTTATTGGTCCCCAAAGTCAGAACTTTTGCCATTTATCCCCTGAATATAGATCCTTGAAATGAGAGCCACAGCATTCACTCACATGCCATCTTTGTGAAAATGTTGCTCTACAGATGAGTCATCTGATGAGACATGGGTGAGACATGGGTGTTTGGTGAGTGCATTTACAATAAAAAAAAACAAAAAAAGTCCATTAAGGATTAGGAAACAGTCACAGTTCGTTTTAAAAGAAAATCATGCACCGTCTTTTGTTCACCATGGAAAATACCTTCATCTTCATCACCGTCGTTTTCCGACAAATCTTCACCCTGTTTTTTTGCATGGGCCCCTGTTGTTGAAGCAGGGAGAGAAACATAAAGACGTACAAAGAAATTCAAAATAGCATGTTTGGCAAAAAACACAAATGGGGGAGGGAGGCATTTCAGTGAGAGCAGCATTTAAAAATACATGGGAACAGAACAGTGTTTATTTAAAATACAATCCAAAAGAACAATCAGATATTTCTACAGAAAGAAAATAACTCAGGCAAAAATAGAAAATAATTTATTTTTGGATACAGATCAAATAGTTACAATGAGTTATACCAGAAGACACCTTTTTAGACTTGATGTATACAAAGCTAACCTGATGCTTTAGCACATTTAATTCAGAGTCATACATCACTGACATTTTTAGAGACGAAACCTTAATGAACAGAAGAACTAAAATCCATCTATTGTGCTTAAGCTTTGTTAAATAAAAGGTTAATATTTATTCTGTATTTCTCTCTGAAAAATCCCCATTTCAGAATATTGTGTTTTTAATCTAAAGAGGAAAAAATTAAGAAAATCAGTTTTCTGGTGCTTTTAAATTGGAGAACGCTGTACTGTACACACATCCACAGCAGCTATAGTTTCTGTAGGTTCATTTTTTTGTTTCAGTGAGTATTAGAGATAGACAACTATGAAAGCTGATTAATCTTCAACCTTCAAATTCATCCACTGGATAACAGGATCGATTGTAGCTCCAAGTAAATATGAAGCAGAACTGTTTGGGTTTTTTTGACCAGCATCTTTGATCACATCCATCTGGATGTGATGTGATGTGTTGCTTTGCTGGCTGCAACAATCCTTGCGTCCAGATGACAAAGCATAGGGTCTGCTGTAAAAACCATGCTTTAAAGCTGCAGCAGAAATATTATTTGTAAGTAATAAAGAAGAGGAATGAGGCTACAGTTACGCTTCAGTCTGTTTTGGCAGTTGTTTACTGTTGACACTGGATGGAGGCTGGTTAAGAGAAACCGCAGAATAAGGAGCACCACTGAGTTTTGCCCGGACATCAAGCAGGGTCCTCTTCCTAGATGCAGTTTGATCTCCTGCACTACTTTTCTTCCTCTTAAAAGGGAGTTTTTCCTCTCCACTGTCACTACAAGCATGCTTAGTGTGAGGGATTGCCTTCTAGTCAATGAGTCGATGCAATCTACTGGTTTTCCTTACATAGAAAACTTTTAATCAATTTGACTGTATAATCTGGAGGGCTGTAAAGTGCCTTGGGAGGACGTGTTGTGAATTGCTGCTATATAAATAAACTGACTTGAATTGATTTGAATACTTTATTGACATCCTCTGGATAAAACAAGCACAATTTTTTGAATTTTTACGGAAAGTTGGTCTCAATTCAGATTTTCGATTTAAATTAAATTACCTGTTTATTCAAGTGTCTTCTGACAAGTAGTTACTGTATTTTCCGGACTATAAACCGCTATTTTCCCCCCACATTTTTGAACAGTGAGGCTTACAAGAAGGTGCAGCTTTTGGTAGATTTTTCCTAGCCAGCAGAAGGAGAAGTCAAGCTTAGAAATTAAAGAATAAGGGGCTAATTTTCCTTTAGCCCAAAAACATGCTAGCAGCATCCAAGATGGAGAACAAACATAGCAAATTCACATATTTTAAAAATTATTTGATGCATTAAGGGAAAAGTATGTTCAGCAAAGAATGATCAATGGCTCTTTATCTACATCTAAAACAGTGATTTAATGAAATTAATGTTTATCGGTAAAAAATAATTAAGATAATCATTTTTGTTGATATAACTGTGTCTGGGAGCGGCCATTTTTTTCAAAGTAATAACACCTCACTCCTTACATCTTCCCGCAGTGACGTCACGGTGCGGTAAGCAGAGCACCATTCTACCCGCTTTATGAGCAAAATCAACTACAAGACACATCTGCAATCAACAAAAATTGGTTATTTCACATTTCCGATTCATGATCCTCCACGAATGGGTTAGTTGTTTGATTGCTAACTTGAAGAAGGAACACATAATATGTAGCCAACATTTCGTAGAAGAATGTTTTCAAGATGACTTGGATATTAACACGTTGTGACAAACACCAGATACAGCATTGGGACTTGCTTAACAGCCGATACCGCCCTATACGTCACAAACCGGTATTTGACAGTAGTGTTCTTTGACAAACATGAATGTCTCTGGTAAAGCACATTCAAATGAAATTACTGTTAATTAAAAACACTTAATATTTATTGAACACCATGTAATAATTCCATATTTGATGTACTATATGACTGGACTTCTCCTATAAAGCTGCCGAACCAATGAAGAGACTGGGCTCAACTCCCGCAGAGCTAAAATAAAGAGCCGACGAGGCCCAATCTTCGAGCCAGCAAGCTAACGGGAGCTAGCATTCTTCTTCTTCTTCTTCCCTACTCCAGGGGCTATATTTAGAGCTCCCCCTACAGGTTTGATGGGGAGCAGTTCAGTAGATATTAGTAGCTTACAGCCCGGTGCGGCTTATATATGCGCTCTATAGCCCAGAAAGTATGTTATATATACAGGTTGATGTCAGTTAGAGATAATCTTCTACTGTATGTTGATGAAAACTATTTTAATCTAGATTTGAATGGGGATTTAAATGATTTGAGGGTTCACTGTAGATTAAAATAAATAATAAGGTGATTTTTAAAACCAACAATACTTAATCTTCAGGACCTGGTTCATTATCATACAACACAGATGGTTTATAAAGCTAGGGAACAATTACTACCACTCATTATTCAAAATATTTTCAGCCATAGGAATAGGGGTTATCATTTACTAGGGACCTTGAAATTCTTCTTCCCACTCCATTTGAACCGAATTTTCTTTTTTAGTGATGTATTTTTCCCCTCCATTGTGTTTTTATAATTGTCTTATGTTCAAATAACACTTTTAAATAAACAAAATAAAGAACAAAATAAAAACTGACTACATACTCATCACTCAGATTTCTCTCTAATTTTTTGAGTCCTCACATTTTTTACAATTAACTAAGAAGAGATCATTTTTATATCTTTAAACATGCTTTGACTTGTCACACGATTCACAAACCGGCGGCACCTTGGACTGTCGGCAAATAGGCCAATAGTTCTTTCAGGCCCTTTGGGTTAGCAGTAGGGGATAACCTGCTGCAACCCAAGAATTGGAATCAAATGGCATTAGATTGGTATCAAGAGAGGCAAAACAGAACCTTCAAGCATAGCTGCTCTCTTGGTTAGCAGCACTGATAGGGAAGTGCTGTTACTCTGTCAGAATATGGCTCATCTGTTTGTGTTGGTTAAGAGTGTGAAAGGCACATTATTTAAACGTTGTGGCGATGTAAGTAATGCGATAAGCAACATTGATTTAACATGTCACCGCCTTTCAGCCAGTGATGTTATGAATTTTGTCCTCGTATTATGGATACAGTAATGAGAAAAAAAAAATCTACCCTTGAGTGTTTTCTTCACTCATCATTTACAACTAGTAATGATTTTTTTTTTTTTTGGTGCCTAATACCAGCAGCCAAAAGGCTTTGGAATATCAATACCAGTTAGTCAGTTGGCTCATCTCTCAATCCATCTATGCAACAGTCTGTCATCTTCTGACAGGATTATAAAGAAATGTTATTTTTGGAGATGACCTTTTATCCAACACCCTGTCAGTTTATATTTTCCACTTGAACAGAGCCTGATACAGAGGATCATAATGCTGTCGGTGACTTTGGACTCTTCCTCCATTGTAATATCTACAACAGCAAAAATAGGAATCAATAAAAATCTTACAGGCTTATTGACAAAACGCATGCTCTAATCCTCTTATTATTACAACTCATCTTCCTGAAATGTTTTATTAACAGAGGTGGGCTTGACCCATTGCTAAAGCTTAAGTCACTGCTGCTAATATCAGTTAAAAGATAATTGAAAACAGTTTTTACTAGAAAACTGTTGTTATTCTTAGTACTTGGTTGAAAGTATTTCCTCTGCTGCCTTTAACTTTCACTTCAATATACTTAACAGTGAGGATTTGCATTTAGTTGCGGTGATTCCAGTGACCACAAAAAGACAATTTGGCTCATTCACCTGCTATATATTCTGCAAATGAGATGACTTGTTCTGTAACGCTGCTTCATTTGATTGTATCATAGGTCAATCTTGCCAATATCAACAAATCTTAAGACAGTCGTATCTAAACTATATGATTCCTGTCTCATATTTATGTGTTTATAAATCCATGTGTTCACTCCTGACTATCTCTTCTCACATCCTCAGTTGTCTTCTCCCTTGCTAATTGATACTGTAGGTGCAATGCATTATAATGCATAATGTAAAAGGCCAAGTGTCATGACATTTACTGATATATATTCTCTGAAGGGGCCTTTTTTCTTTAGTTCCATGGCAACTACAATGACCTTGTTAAGTGTGTTCATCAGTTTTACAGTATCATGAATAATACATTTTTAAATAATATGGAATTGGATATGAGCTACAGCTGCAAACCAAGCATTCAGCTATGATACTCTGAGGTTTAAATACATACATACTAGTGATAGGAGGTGAAAGGATTGCAAAGCATTTATGTTACAGTGAGGCAGGCTGCCTCTGTTTAGAGAGAGGATGAAAGCTTGCTGTTGCCAAATCCTAACAAAATTGAAATAGGGGCTTTTAAAATTATGGTTTTCAGGTACTGTAAGTAAGCCAAGTGAAAAAAAAAACAGTATATATATAGTCTTTTGCTTTAGAGCAATAAATATCATTTAAAAACAAAAAAATAAATAAAAAGCTAACTTATTCCAAAATTACCATTCAATATAGGTAGATTGAAACGACTAAGGAAAGTAAATGTTTTATATAATGTGTGTATGTGGGGTCACCCTCCATGAAATACATACACATATTTTTAATTAAATAATTCTATAAATAAATAATCAGTACAACAATAATTTTTGTTTTCTATTTATTTCTTGCAGGAATTTTTTTCTTAAAGGACTTTTTTTTCCTACATTTTGTACTATATTCCAGCAGAACACATTAG